TGAAGTTAGGAAATGTTTACTAAACGGTACCAAATGTAGATTTGGGTGAACCGATTGAGCTGGCATCTTAAAATTTGACGTTAGGATCACTCTTGTTGGTGTAGGATTATTATTTTTAGAAAGTTTTGGAAATTGGTACTAATGTGTACTAAATTTGGTACAATATACATTTTTGGTGAACCAATAGAGCTGGAAACCTTGAAATTTGGAAATAAGGTTACTGTAAGAGTATAGGATTGGGATAAGGATGTAGTTTTGGAAATGCATACTTATGGGTACTAAATTGTACTAAATTTTATACAATTTGAATTTTTGGTGAGCCGATTGGGCTGGAATCTTAAAATATGACACTAGGATCACTGTTGGGGTGTAGGATTGAACTTTATGTAGAAAGTTTTGAAAATTCGTACTAATGTGCACTAAATTTGGTACAATTTAAATTTTTGGGTGAACCAATACTTGAATACTGAAATTTAATTTAGAGTCACTGTTTGGGTGTAGAGGATTGGAATATGTAGAAAGTTTTGGAAATTTGTACTAAACCACATTTGGTAACATTTTGTACACAATGTTACCCCAAATGCGGATTTGGATAAACCGAAAGAGCTGGAACACTAAAATAATGTTAGAAATAATGTTACTGTTGAAGTGTAAGATTGGGGTATGGATGTAGTTTTGGAAATACATACTTATGTGTACTAAATCGTACCTATTTTGGTATAAGTTGAATTTTGGGTGAACTGCTAGAGCTGGCATCCTGAAATTTGGAGTTAGGATCATTGTTGGGGTGTAGTATTGGGGTATTATGTAAGGAAGTTTTAGACATTTGTACAAATGTGTACTAAATATGGTTCCAAATTTGTTTTTGGGTGAACCGATAGAGCTGGAATTTTGATTTTGAAATTAATAGCATTGTGTGCTAAATGATACCAAATTTGAATTAAAGGTAAACCGATAGATCTGGAATCTTGACATGTAGAGTTAGGATCACTTTTGGGATGTTCAATTGGGGTATGTAGGAAGTTTTACAAATGTCGATTAATGCGTACTAATTGGCACTAAATTTGGTACAATTTGGATTAAGAGTGAACCGTTAGAGCTGGAATCTTGAAATTGCGTAATAAGATTTCCATTGGATTGCATGATGTAAGTAGTAATGGAAATTCGTACTTATGTGTACTAAATGGTACTCAATTTGATATAAATTGGATTTAGGTGAAACGATAGAATCCTGTAATTTGGAATTAAGATTTTGGGGTATGTGGGAAGTTTTGGAAATCCGTAAAGTAGGAACTGTATATTAACGTGTACTAACTGGTAATAAATTTGGATTTGAGTGAACCTATATTTGAAATTTGATTTTTTTCTAAATAGGTATTACCAGAGTACAAAGGGTAACAAATAATACAAATTTTAGATTTATTTTGCAGTCAGAATTTGTTTGTCGAGATGTGAGTGGGTTATGATACTTTTTTATTTTAAGATTTGGTTTTTAGTCGTATATTTTTCATAATATATTTTAAAAAAATGTAAGCATAGAGTTTTTACAAAATAAATAAATTAGCGTGCATTCTATACTACGTAGAAGTTTTTTTAATTTTTTTTTTTTAAATTTATTTTTTAATTTTCTAAATTTCAGACACTGGGTTTGGAAAACTGGGATAGCGGAGCAGTATAGACTGACGGAGCCGACCATATGATGCCCTACTCATTACCACTGAACTTTAACTTTCTGCGGATATATATGCCGACTATCATCTTCCCGGGCTATGACCTTCAGGAGTATATATATGCCACTCGGTTGTGGGAGTTATACTTAAAACAGTGAACGATACCCTATACAACTACCACGAAACTCTTTGTGCCTATTTTTTTACCTCCTCTTCCTTACATTGACATATATTCCGTATATTACTAATGTTCAAAACAGTCCTTTCATTTACTTGTCCATTCCATTCACCCTGGGTGGTGTTGTGATGTTCGGCTTAGAATTGTGGCATATAGATCGAGTCGAAAAAAACACAAAATATTAAGTTTTCGGTCCACTTCATCCCAATATTATTATCTGATCATTACAGAAATTGTCCTTGACCATAACTGGAACCTCATGAAACAGTTCAAAGCGATCAACGCTACATATCCGCCCTCCAGTGTGGTAATGGGTTACTAAATAATATCTGAATACATAAGCACCTATAAATATTTAAGTGTAACACCCACATCCGAGTACATACGACAATATAATTGGTATCAATTTGAAGATCAACAACTCCTCTTGGATATACTATCAACATCTGGGGTGTATGTCCTTCAGGAGCAAGTATATACGCCCCAAAATAAAAATGTTGTAATTTTTAACACAAAAGTCAGGCTCCATTTGACCCGCTGAATATTGACCGAAACAGGCATGCTTATTCTTTGGCCCGATCCCCTTCTCCATGTAAAATTTCACGACCAGAAAAACCGACAAAAATTAAGTATTTGATCCATTTCAACCCCTAAATATTAAAGGATCTTTACCAAAAACAATAGGGGTCTTCATTTGGCAGAACCCACCCTACATGCAAAATTGTGTGAAGATTGGTCCATAACTGTGACCTGTAACGTGTTTACAAATTATAATGGACAGACGGACGGACGGACACACATGTCTAGATCGACTCAGCTAGTCGAGATATGACGATCGGTATACTTAAAGGTCTAGGATAAATATTTCGCAGCGTTACAAACTTATGGGCCTGCACAAAGCTATAATATCCTGACAACACAGTTGTGTAGGATATAAAAAGTACCGGAGTTTACGCATTCTGCTATTTCTTAGTATTACCATTACCGCACTAGAGAGCGGAAATGTAAAGCTGATGGCTAGGAAATTGTTCATGAGGGTCCCGGTTATGGTTAGGACGGTTTTCTTCGCTCTAGACGCCACAATTATAAGCCGAACATCAAAAATGTTTTCATGGCGTAGGCGATCAACGAAATTGTGGCTATATATTATTTGGGGATGTCTGTGTTTCTATTCCAAAGAGTTTAATATTTTTTTGTGCTCTGCACACTTCAATGTCTTTCTTAAAGTTTATAAAAAATTAACACATTTTTATATATAAAGACAAAAAAATAAAATTATGTACCATCTTAAATATTTGTTGTTCTTATATAAAAAAGACTTGAAATGTATGTGTAAGTAAATTGTTTTTTTTTTTTTTTTTTTTTTTTTGAATAATGCCTTCAATATTGTTATGGAATATATTTAAAAAAAATTGGCTCTGAACTTTTTATTAAGAAAATATCATTTAAAATTGTCTTCTATTACCCTTTCGTTTGCTTTATATGGAAACAATTTCAAAATATGGACCTATATATATACAACTTCAGAAATTCCTCTAACCATTTCTGAAAAAATATAAAATTTGGTCAAGTATTTACTGAGTTATTAGAATTTAAATTCTACCATGCTCCGCTATATACTTTCTATTTGGTGCTGGGCACCTATTACCTAAAAATGAAAAACCACAATGGGCAGTTTTTTCTTCATATAGGTACTGTATGTGTATGTTCATAATATGTACTGTATGTATATTACCCAAACTGTTTTGGCCTAAAAGTATGCTACAGATTTCATTACAGACCAGCCGTCATCATTGAAAATTTGCCATTTTTAAAAAATCGATTTTTGTGTGGTTTTTCATTTTTGGGTAATAGGCTCCCAGAAACGAACAGCAGCAAGTACATTTCGAATCATGGTTGAATTGAAATGCAAATAACTCAGCAACTACTTAACCGAATTTTATGAAAATTGCAGAAGTGGTTAGAGATAATTCAGGAGCTTCGTTACACATTGTGAAAGTAAACATAAAGGGTGTGTTTTAAGAAAGTGAAGAAAAACCACATTAAATTTTGAAAAATGCATGAAATCTTCATTTGAGTTGATAGTACGGTCCACATACTTTGATTTTTAATGATTATTTCATGCAAATGATGACCGCGACTGCACCTTAAAATCTCACGTTATATTTTTTTTATTCCAAAAAATTAATATGAGACTTTCTGCTTAAAGAAGACCAGTTACGCCTTCATATGACACATTACTGTCGACTATAGGTTAATTTATTCAGACATCACACATCTGTTGATTATTGAAAAATATTTTTTTTTGAAAAATTCAATTCTCTGTTTATATATATTTCGTAATTATTCGTATTTCAACATAGATGGTGGTGTCCCATATGCCTATTCCGCAGATTCCCCAATGAAAGTAACACGTGTATAATTTATGTTCGATTATTAACAATAATTTATAACTTAACTTTTATTAGATATTAAATAAATATGACAATAAAACTCAAATAAACTACAATAGTTAATAGATATATATAGAGAGACTCGTGTCTGTCTCTGAAAACAAATGTGTTGTTGTACTCAACTAGTTAATTAAACAATTTTGATTTCTATTTTTTAAAATATAAATATTAATAGATGTTTAAATACAGATATTTAAAAATAATAACTAATCTTAAAAATAATTATATTAAAAAAATTACTTAAAGCTATGTGTGTGTGTGCCTTAAACACGCACACACTCTAATGGAATTTAAGCGCAACAATTTGAACTAAACGAAATGCGATATCAATAAACAATATTATTAATACAAATATATATAGAAATCGTTGTTAATATTTATAATTCCTTTATATATATAACTGCATGGTATATATGTATATATCATCATAGATATGCGATGGTGGTATATTATTAAAACAAAAAAATATATATTTCTTAAATAACTTGGAAATATTTGTTAATAAAAATAGAAAAAACTCTGTGTGTGTACTCAATTTCCAGTTAACAATAATTGTTGAAATGTCCCAGTCGAATAATTCTACAAAAAATGAACATTTGTTGGAGGAAAAAAATGTTATAGAACTGTCTGCCTAACACAAAATAATTTACAAATAATTCAATTAAGTCATTTAATAATATTTCCTTTTTAAAATTTCTTTCAAGATAAATCCACGGTTGCTGCTGTGCCACTTGATAGACTAGCATTTGATGCCGAGTTTTTCATTTTAGCCACTGGTGTTGTGGCCCTGTGGCTGCCTGCTGCCGAGGACGAGGATAGCGTACTCATTTCACCATTACTTATAAAACGTTGCATAAACTCCCGACAATTAATATCACGATAATAGTCGTCGGACTTTTTAGTGCTTCGCAGTAGTACTCGACCAAATATTGTGGCTGTAAGAGAAAGAAAAGAACAAAAATAAAACACTTGCCGCCATAGGAATATGTTAGTTAACAGGAAGAAGTTATTCTCTTGCAATACTCACCCACATGCATGGCATTGTAATATTTACGTTCGATACCCTCACGTAGGAACATACACAAATGTACAAAAACATTTCGCTTGGGTGAACTTAATAACGAAACTAATTCCATGGCTTCAGCGGTGGTTTTAGTTTTCAGGAGATCATCAACATAAGGATCCAATAATGGTTTCTCGGGCAAATGTAGTAGCATAAGTAGAGCTTCGGCCGCAGCTTGTGGTGTACCAGCTGAAATTGATAGATAGAATAAAATTATACATAAGAGATATAAAATGCTAGGAATAAAAAAAGCATTGTTACAAAGTCTTTCTTTGCAGTGATGACATAGAAAATAAATGTATGGCATGAAACATTTGATCTAAATAATGATGCAAGGACGTGGAAGGATTAAAACCAACATTTTATCATTAATAATTGTTTTTATAGTTTTTTTTCTATATCAACTATCGACCAGTTTTTGGCTTGGCAGGGGTTTTGACACAAGGGAACAATAAACAAACTATTTTATATATTCCTGCATGGCAAAGAAATGTTTTAAAACCAGATAAGCGATATATCAAATACAATGGCGAACCTCGTCTAGAGCTCTGCAACCCCAACTACTGGTATTTTACTGTCATTTGGTCCGATGTTAACATTGACGACATAAGTTCAAATTTGCCACCATCACCAATTTCTTTTGTGACCGCAATCTGAAATTATTCACTGCAAAGTCTATTGTGTCTCTTTTCACTTCCTGGACGCGAGAAGTCAATTTAGAACTTGGCATTTCCAAGGTAGACGAAGGTAGGCGCATCGCCACCGCCCATATTTCGAAAATCCTAGGGGTTGTTGTTGTAACAGTTTATATGAATATATTTTTCATGTTTAAATTCTATCTGGTTCTGTCTCCAAATTAAGAAATGCAGCTACTTCCACTAGCTGCAAACACAGATCTTCTGGAGTAAAATGAGTAGATTTTGCTGGGCAATTGAATAGGTACAGTGTGGTATGAGGGCCCGTACCACATGCTGGGCAGACATCCTGCACCTGGTCACCAATCCGTGGCCAATACGAATTTAGACGACTGCACCATCATGAACGTAATTGGGCCAAAACTACTCTGGTTTGTCTGGGCAGCTGACGTTCTACAGCTGCTATGGGTGGGGGGTGAGCTCCGAGGACGGCATTCATTCTGTATCCGTTCAGCGCTGCGGCTACTGCATCAGTATGATAGGCAACTTGAACTAGAGGCTCCCTTTTGTAACGTTGAACCTCTCTCTCTCTGGATCATGCAGATCCTTCCTCGCACGCCTGGGTGGGGGTCTTATCCACCATATGATGGTTGGGATGATTGTCCCTGAGTGTCCCATATTCCTATGCTGATCTTCGTCTCTTCATGACGATGGTCCACTAGATATTACAGACCACACTGGAACCGCATAGCTTGCCATAGACCGACCTATCGCTTTGTAAGAGGTCAACAAGGTTTCCTTATCTACGCCCCAAGTGCAGCCGGCAGCGACTTGAAAAGCAGGAACAAGGTCCTGTTCCTGCTTTTCAACTTATCGCAGATAGCAGGGTGCCCACCCATAGCGCGGACGATTTAAACAAACTGTCGAATGTGACCCCGAGTATTTTGGGGTAGTTGGTGGTCGGAATTGTATGCCCCTCAACCTGCAAATTCAACGGCATTATCATCTCCGCAGTCCATGTGATGAATAATGTAGCTGACGACTTCGTGACGGATATTTCCATATTTCTCGCTTTAAAGAAGGCTGCCAATTTGATATATGTCCTCAACAATGGGACCCGACGTCATGATCGTACAATCATCTGCATATGTAACGATCTATCAATGCCGCCCGGAGGGCCTGGAGTACCGGAAAGGTAGAGGTTAAACAGTTTCGGAGAAATCACTATACCTTGGGGAACTCCCTTTTTAACTCTACGGGGTTAGGACTTCTTGTTCCGGAACTCCACGTACGACTCGCGTCCACATATAGTTGATTATCCATCGTTTCAAACTCGGCAGGAGGGAAGTGCTCTCAATGTCATCAAATAGCGTGGCATGGCCGACAGTATCAAAGACTTTTGATATGTTAAGCGCTACCAACACTGATCTATCGCATGGCTGGTTCTGGTTAAGTCCTTGACTTATATGTGTGGAGATGGCGTGCAACGCTTTGTTGTACTTTATTGCTTACAGAATCCATGTTGATGATCCGCATGGATATTCCGTGAGTGCACAAAGCTTTGGATGACTTCACGTTACGGATGACACATGCAAAATCCTAAAGGTGGACTTTCTTCCCGCATTGGAACTATATCGAAAAAAGGTGAATGCTAGGAACAAAGTAGTGAACGCTCTGGCTGGCAGCTTCTAGGGCAAGGGTAGAGAAACATTGGTAATGACATTTAAGGCCATCGGTCGTTCCATATTTAATTATGCATGTCAATGGCTGATCCACGTCCACGACACATCTGCCAGGACTGTAAGGCAAATTCATTCGATTCTGGCGCAATCTTAAACACATTCCGTAGCTTTTACACTTCACCGAAGTTGTTCGGTTTAAGTTGTCACAGCTCTACTCTTTTAACTCATGGTTTCAATGTTAATCACAGAAGCCTTAGCGAGAGCCTATTGCCTCTGTAGGCAATATCCGGTTTTTAAGGATAACATCAATACTTTCCACCAGGGTATTTGAAATCTCTGCGTTGCTGGGAGTTGAGTGGCTTTATTCCTGCTTCATGAACGTGAAACTAGAGTTCTCCAAGTTTCTCTTCATATGGCTATCTACATCGTGTAAAGCAGTGTTTGCATTATCTATCTCAATCTGGCAACGTTACACCTAATATTTACTGCATTTTTCTTCCGAATTTGACCTCCATTGACCTAGATTTTAGGAAGCTATTTTATTCCCATACATTAAAGTACTTACGAAATTCATTATTCGACCATGTATCCAACCAGTCTCTGACTTCGTTAAATTCGACATTTCGGGCATGTTTAAATTGTAATGAATCCAAGGTGAAGGCACCCTCCACCTTTGGTCCCTGCTTATGTAAATAGTCAATAAGTAAAAAGAATTCACGGGGCATTGTTACGCGATATTCGGGAGATTCGTCGTTCATCTATAAACCGACAAAGAAATCAATAATATAACACAATTAAAAAGTGATGGAAATATAGACTTACCAAATCTTTAATTTGTTGCTGGTCATATTCACACAATGGACGATTGGTACGGCACAATGTTTCCATGGATAAACCAAAACAACTGGGTTTATATTCACCCGTTACGGTTATAAAGATATGTGGACCATTTTCAACTTGTAAAATTAAGATATCAAAATCAAATTTCCAATTGGTGGTGCGGATTTTATGTAAGAGACTAGTTATGGAATCGACATTTGCCAATAATCTTACGCGTATACTTTTGGTGGAATCTGAAAGAAATAGAGACACATATTAATTTAGGAGTACAATATATAAACATTTAATAATACCAACCTATCATCAACTTCTCTTTCCATGGTTCTACCCTCAACCATTTCTCGCAGATATCATTGAGCGGTGGATCCTTGCGTTTAAATTCGAAACCAACCTGCATTGGGCAGGCATTTGAAACCGTAAAATCACTAACCACTGTCTCATTGAAACGCACAATACCAAAATCAATGATTGTCTTTTCGACATTAATTTGTGGTTGACTTTCATTTTCACGTTTATCCAAGAGCTTCAGAACCTCTTCGTGGACCTTCTTGTACAAATGGTCATCACGTGTTTTTATGCTAACTCGAAATACCGCATATACAGGTTTATGATCACTTTGTCGTATATCCATAACACTATTGTAGGCCAATTGTGTGATGCGTGAACCCTTCCATAAAATACGATCACAGTAGGCGGGAGCCCTTTGCTTTTCACTACTATCATAATTATCGGTGCCAGGATCATATTTATATGTAGGACGGAAATTAATCGGACCTTCGGTATAGCCTTCAAAACAATTACCTTTACGCATTTCTTGTCGCAGTTGGTCATATTGCAAAAGGATTTCTGCTGATTGTGTTGTTGAACGTGCAACGGGTAATTGCAAACCGGGTGGCTCTTCAATGCGATAGTTTAAATCACCAATCCAGAAAATGTGACTGAAAAATAAAGTAATTTTTTCAATTAATTTTTCGTAAATTATATACGAGGCTTGATCAAAAAGTATAACGAATTTTTAATTTAGAGGATGCCTATAGCTCGGAAAACACCTGAAAAAATATTCCTTAAAAAAACACGCCTATAGCTCGGAAAACGCCTGAAAAAATATTCCTTAAAAACACGCCTATAGCTAGGAAGATGCCTGAAAAAATATTCGTTTAAAAATCAACGCCTATAATTCAGAAGATACCTGAAAAAATATTCGTTTAAAAATCAACGCCCATAGTTCGGAAGATGCCTGAAAAATATTCTTTAAAAATCCACGCCCATAGTTCAGAAGATGCCTGAAAAATATTCTTTAAAAATCCACGCCTATAGCTGGGAAGATGCCTGAAAAAATATTTTTTAAAAATCCACGACTATAGCTCGGAAGATGTATGAAAAAATATTCGTTTAAAAATCCACGCCTATAACTGGGAAGATGCCTGAAAAAAATATTATTTAAAAATCCACGCCTATAGCTGGGAAGATGCCTGAAAAAAATATTATTTAAAAATCCATGCCTATAGCTGGGAAGATGCCTGAAAAATATTCTTTTAAAATCCATGCCTATGGTTCAAAGAGCCTTGAAAAAAATTATTTTAAAATCCACGCCAAGGTTCGAAAGAGGCTTGAAAAAATATTCGCTTAAAAATCTACGCCTATAGATCGAAAGATGCTTAAAAAAATATTCTTTATGCGCGCTAATAACTGGAAATTTGCATGAAAAATATTCTTAAAAAAACAAGCCTATAGCTGAGAAGAAGCCTGAAAAAATATTCTTTAAAAATGAACGTCAGTAGTTGGGAAGATACATAATAAAATATTATTTATCCATGCCTATAGCTGGAAAGTTGCATAAACAGATATTCTTTAAAAATCCAAGCCTACAGCTGAGAAGATGCTTGAAAAATATACCTTTCAAAATCCACGCATATAGCTTTGAAGATGGTTGAAAAATATTCTTAAAAAATCGACGCTTAGAATATCTTCGCAATACTGTTTTGAACATCTACTTCATTATATTAAAAGAAAACTTACTCATGATCATTTATGGTTCGCCTTAATTCATCATCAAACACCAGGCCCTTAACAATGCCATGATAATCTTCATTGCGTGCCTCAACAAATCCCATATGAGCAGCCAAATGGGAATTAACAAAACACAAATTCGCCTCATTTAGCTGCAAACTAACCGCAACACCACCTTTATTACCCAGCGTATTGAGAATGCCACGGGCAATTGTCTTAACATTGTGGCGGGTAATCGATGAACGAATTTCTCGTTTTACAATGACGGTCAACATCATGCCCACCAAACGTACCGATGTCAGTTCTTCATATTCACCCTTGTCATGGACACTTTCCAACATTTTCATACTAGAAAAAAGAGAAATGGAATGAATTTAAATTTCATATAGAGAAAGTCATATTTGTGTGTCCTTACATCCACATATAATCTGGTCGATTCTCACTGAATGTTATTGCCTTTGCCGAGGTATCCAATTCCTGCAAAGCTATGGCATAAATATCTGGTGGTGTCTCACAAGCAGCCAACCATAAATGTAAGGGCGAGTCAATGTATGATTTATTGTTCACATTGTAGGTGGCACAATAGATTCTGTAAAAAAATTATGAATTAATAAATATATATTAAATTTTTTTATTATTGTTACATACGTGAAATCCTTATATTTTATGTATTCATGTTCTCTGCGTTTCATTTCCTGTTTAACTTCACCAATTTGCCGATAATCATTGACCCATGCAAAGCTTAATGCCTTTGATTCGCTTGGTGTTAAAACCATCGACATTTTGGCCGATGTTACCTGAGCTTGAAATGTATCAAAATCCACAACATCATTGTCCGATGATAGAGGATAATAGAAATATTTTACTGGTGCCTCATCAGAACATTTTAATGTAAATTGTAGCTGGGATATGGAACCCTTGCGGTCTGCAAAAACAGAAAAAAAATTAACAAAATCAATAACAAATTCACAAATAAGCATAAATCTGTAAAAATATATTTATTGATTTAATTAGAAGTATATATGACGAAGTCTTTTAAATTACGATCGTTATTATATTGGTCTCTAATATACAATATAAATTCATTCATTATAAACAACAAACATTATAAACAATTCAAACTCTACAAGGTGTATTTGAGAAGACATACACACGTTCATTATTCTTTGTTTATATCAAGAACGTTGATAAGAAAGCGTGTATTTTAGAAATTAAAAAAAATCGAATATCAATATGGAATTTTCAAATCGTCATAGTCCAATGGCTGTAGAAATAGAAAAATACAGAAAGTATTTGATTTTTCACACTCTACTGATAATTAGTTATTTATCTAAAATCTGATTCATATATACTTGATCGCAAAATAAATATAATATACCTGACCCCCAAGCTACTGTTGCAGCCCATGTAGTCAAAAAGGGTTATTCTTACAATATTTAAAAGCACAATAAAGAGACTATTTTTAATTCCTATAGACTTTTTTCAAGATTATCAAGGCGTGGATTTTTAAAAATATATTTTTCAAGATCTATCGAGGCGCAAAATGTTTAAGGTCTATCACGGCTTAAATGGCTTTCAAAGCGTGAAGTTTTTGAAATATTTTTTTTTCAAGGTCTATCAAGGCCTGGATTTTTAAAAATATTTTTTTTAAGGCCAGTATTTTTAAAAATATTTTTTTAAGGCGTGACTTTAAAAAAAATCAAAGCGTGGCTTTTTAAAAATATTTCTTATGGTATCTTCTTCTTTCTTAGCTGGCTTGTGACAGAACTTTCATTCCATAAACCGAGCTTAAAAAAAGATTTCCAGGCGCGTCGGTCTATTGCGCAGGTTTTACAATTTGGAAGACCATATTCGCCAATGTTTGTCTTCCACTTGATCTGTCCATCTAATTCGTGGCCTTCCCCTTCTGCGTGAACCATCAGCTGGTTCGCTTTTATATGGCTTTTGGGCTGGGGCACCTTCATCCATTCTCACAACATGACCTAGCCAACGTAGTCACTGCAGCTCAATACGCCTAACAATGCCGATGTGCGAGAATAGCTGGTTCAACTCATGGCTCATTGGACGGCGATATTCATCGTCAACACAGATCGACCCACAGATCTTTCGGAGAATTTTTTTCTCAAACACTCCAAGAGCTGCTTCATCTGCTTGCGTAAGTACCCATGCTTCACATCCATATAACAGCACGGGTAGTATCCACGTCTTGTAGAGTATGAGTCTGGTCTGGCGGGAGGTGGCCTTGTTTCAAAACTGCTTACTTAGACCATAGTAGCATCTGTTGGCCAACACTATCCATCTCCGAATTTCAAAACTGATGTCAGTCTTGTTATTTATGGCGGTACCAAGGTATATGAAATCGTTAACTACCACGAAGCTGTAGTTTTCAAGTTTCTCAGTTGGTCCGAGTCTTCTGGACGTCTTGCGCGTTGATTCCGTCACCTGGTCTTCTCGCCGTTTACTGTCAGATCCACTTTGGAAGACTCCTTCTCAATTTTTTCAAAGGTGGCTGTTACCGCTCTCAATGTTCGATCGATTATGGTATATTCAGATAATATTTTGGCTAAAGGCCTGGATATTTTTGGAACCCTTTTCAAGGAATATTTTGGCTGGAGGTCTGAATTTTTTTTAGGTATATTTGGCCTAGATGCTTGGATTTTATTTTATTTTCCAATGAATATTTTGTCAAAAGGATTGGATATTTTAGGAGTATTTTTCAAGGAATATTTTAACTAAAGGCCTGGATTCTGCAAAAAATTATGCTTATACATTTTTTGCAGTAGTTTCAATAGTTGCAACGCCGCGAAATATTTTTTGTAATCTCGACTCGATGGGGGAGTTATACTTACACGCGTTTTGATAATGTTTAGTATCCCCATTACCATACTAGAGGAAATGTAGTTCCCCCTTGGTGAATATGAAGTTTCGCATGAAGTCCGGCTTATGGTCAAGGATGGCATATATAGTGCTCGGTGGAATCAGATGATATTTATGAAATGGACCAATAATATAAATGTAGGTTCGTTGACCTATAATATGATAGCAAATCAATTGATTATTAGAGGACGGGTATGAGGAATATACTGAAATTTTTAAAGCTATAAACACGCCCTTATATTGTTATCATAACATCGAAGAATTCAAATTTAGCATTATTTGGCTATGATGGCCAGCATTATTGGGCTATGATGTTGTTGTAACAGGTGGCTGTTGACGAAAGTTCTTTACTGAAAAATGCTGATAGAAAAGAAAACGGAAGAAGGAAAATATATTAATTATTAGGAATTCGGATTTGAAGAGGGTAGCCGGAAAAATTGTGCAACCTCTATTGGCTTCAGCCATAAGTCTATGGCCAATAGACTCGTAGGCTCGGACGGACAATTGAATAAATGTTGTGTGTCGTGAGGGCTATGCTGGCAGGAGGGACACCTGTTTAGGGTTCCGGCGACAATGCGCTCTCGATACGAGTTGAGCACATTGCTGTATCCGGTGCCAGAATTGAACGGGTTTGCCTAGGAAGAAGCCTCTCACTCTCCGAAATTGCAGGAGGATGTTGTTGTAGGACCGCTAGTTGATGCACGGATTTCATCGAGTTCGCAATCGACAATCTGTTGACGTCCGATGGAATGATGTATTGGATGTCATCACGATAGCGCCTGAAGTCCTGGCGGATGTGTCGCGGAGGTGGATCTGCCATCACAGTGTGATGGTTAGGATGACACGCCAGATAGCTAGCCAGCAGGAACTATCTAGTCAACAACACATTATGTTGCTTGACTGACAGCATCCTGTCGACGGTGACCGACGCTAGTCATTTGGACACACCCGGTTGCAATTCGGAGTGCATTATTTTGGGTTGTTTGCAAGGATCTTCATTGTGTGTCGCTAAGGAAAGAAGTCCAGACTGGGAACTATAGCCTTATAAGTCGTTACCAACGTTTCTTTATCTATGCCCCAGGACGTGCCAGCCAAAGCATTCAGAACATTATTCCTAGCTTTCACCTTCTGGTTCTTCAGGTGTACCAAACGAAAAGTACAATCGTAGTAATGTAGGGTATAATATGGTCTGCCCCGTCCGACTAACTACTCCGCTGACTGCTTAATGAATATCAAGGATTTTCAAAAACCAACCAAAAATTTATGACTACCGCAATTTATGTCAAAATGCGGAAAGTAGGCAACATCATCCTTTTTTTCTTTTTTGGTAGGATTTTTCTATTTCTGAGGAATACTCCCAATCGATGTTGTAGCAACCTAACTTAATTAATTGAAGTAGTGTTATATTAGCTATCTCTTCTTGATAAACAAACTTATTCGACAACGGTCTACTAATTGACATGGAGTATAACCACTAAATCTTGCTACTGTAACACATACGTTATTAATTTAAGCATAAAAAAAGTGATATTGAAACCTACATATTTGTTGTGGTTGTTTGAACAAACAAAAACTTTTAGCAAATTGTTTCAGTTGTCAATGTTCATAGATTAGATTTCGTCTAGGGTATCTTTTTTTCGTTTTCGCTTACCATTTCCCATACAAAATGATTCATTCAAAGGGAACACCTTATCAATTGTCAAATCGCTACAAGATCGCGGTGGTAGACGTGACGCAGACATAGAGAAAACAGCATATGTACCACCAGCTACTGAGACTACCAGACACAGGATACGGCTCGTGTGTTCTTGGCCGATAATTTGATAGGCCTCGAATATCTAGAAGAGAAAAAAAGATAAAGTTTATATTAAAAAAACACACACACAAACAGATAAAAAACAAATATCAAGGCAATGAAAATAAAAAAATAAAAATAAATAAAACACATTGACCCTGATAATATATGATTTCAAAATCATCATAATCTTCATTGCCAATGCGCCGCCAACATCAACATACCGACAAAACATTTTCATTCTCTTTGAATTTTTGCTGGACAATTTGTATGGTGGTCAACAGCTGTTTGTTGCCCGAGGAGCTGAGGGCATCATTGGAATTTGACGCTGACGTCTTGCTGGCTAGTGACGATGATGATACGGCTGCTGAAATTGTTGGAATGCTATTGCTGCCTGCACCTCCTCCCAAAGACGACATTGTTGCTGTTGTTGTTTATTTTGTTTTTGTGATTTTGCTTTGCGATAAGTTTTTTTCTCACTGTTAACGTCACTGCCGCCGAATGCCGCCGTTTACGTTACGCTGTGGTCGTCGTCGTCTTGTTTTTGCTACAGAATTTTCCTTGGCGTGTGAAAATTTATTGCTGTAATTTCTATTGTTGTTTGTTTTGTTTAACAAATGTCTACGTCTGTTGGCGTGCCGTTTTGTTTTTTCTTCGTACTTTCTATTGTTTCCGTCGTTGTTGTTTTTATTATTATTATTTTATGGAACTATTATTTCACTTCACTTTCTTTCTACCGCTCACTCTGCCTTCGTTCTTTATTCCCTAACGATGGATGATGTCGTAGATATTTTTTGTTTCTAATATTTATTTTTAGATAATTGCTTATTTCATTCGAACGGTTGTTTAAACATTTATCGATTTTGTTGTTGCTGTTGTTTTGGGTTTTTCTTTCTTCCCTTCTTGACCATTACGAACGCTACGCTGTTTGCTTCGTTGTGGGTGTAGCTTGTTTTCTAATGTTTACTCTCTCCACAGTTATAATAGAGTTTTTCTACAATTTCTCGTTTATTTCACATTCTGAACTACGTCTAAATAGTATTAAATATTTTCCAAATTTGTTATAAATAGTGGAATAATTGGAATAACACTTTTCTCTGACACTTGTTTCCCCGATCAATGCAAATTGTGGAATAATGAATAATTGAATAACACTCTGTCACCGACTGCAAAAAATTGAAAAACGTTCCACCTGCTAACGAATGGCAAGAGAAGACAAAATGGCCGATAAAGATGACCGAAAGAGATAACCGAAAGTTTACGAATGATGTGGGAGAGAGACTAAAAACCGTGTTGTTTACAACACACACACTCACAGCAGCTGCAGCCAGAGAACCGAGCCATACTACTAATGCGTGACGGCGTTGTATGCTGTTGACAACGCGTGCCGTTAAGTCGAAAATCGAGCAGGTTTTTTAGTCAGAGGCAAAAATCGAAAAGTCTAAAAGTCGAATTTCACTCTCGACTACGTATCTATTGCAAACTCTAACAAACGCCAGGTTGCCGTCAAAGTATAAAGCCAACTAAATGTGTCAAGTGTCGCCGGCGTAATATGACAGTAGTTAGAGAACTGAGTTGAGTACGGATACCAACGGCTTCATTGACTTAATTACAGTCCTATACACAAGAAATCCTATTGTCGAATTTTAATTACATTTTAATGGTGTTTTAAATAGGAAGTTTATAATTTTAAATGGTACTAAAGTACTAAAAGAATTTTGAAAAACGAATTGAGCTGGAATCCTGAAATTTTAAATTAACATTACCGTCGGAGTGAAGGATAGGGGTATGGATTATGTTTAGGAAATTTATTTGGGTACTAAAATTTGGTAAAATTTAAATTTTGGGTGCACCGATAGTGATGGAATTCTGATGATTAGGATCACTGTTGTTGTGTAGCATTGGGATATGTAGGAAGTTTTGGAAATTTGTACTAAATGGTTCCAATTTGGGATTTTGGTGAACCGATAGACCTTGAACACTGAAATTTGGAAATGAGGTTACTGTTGGAATGTAGATTTGGTGTATGGATGTAGTTTAGGAAATTCATACTTTTGGGGACTAAATTTGGTAGAATTTGAATTTTTGTTGAACTATTGTTGTTGTGGTGTTGGATTGGAATATGTAGGAAGTTTTGGAAATTGGTAGGGGAGAGGGGGCACCTTTGAACAGCGTTCTTAAAATCTCGGTTTAAAATATTTCCGACCCGTAACCACATTTTTGTATATAGTAATCTTTTTCTCTATCTGCGTAAACCACTTGTACTATCTTTTTGAGTTGTCGACAAAATGTACATGGGTGACAATGTGTTTAGCTCAGAGGGGCTCCGCCGCTGGGAGCCGGTACGCCGAATGTGTGGAGCAGTGGACCGTAGGGGAGGGGTTGTACGTAAGCCGTGTGCCGGGAAAGTAAAAGAAAAAAGTAAAAACACAATTTTTTGCATTCCAACAATCATTTCAAACATAACTAATGTATTTTCTTTCATATATATTTCCTACAAAAAAAAATATTATAAGTTTCCGTAAAATGCCACAGGTGGGGCACCTTTGAACATACGCATCAAACTTCAGTAAAAATGGAGTTTTTAACTTTTGGCTTCGATTTCTCAAAATTTCAAATGGGTTAATAAGATATGAAATTAACTGAATTTTTCACGATATTAATTTTTGTTTTTAAGCCATTTTATGTTTTTACTAGCAAAGTACCCGCTACTTCGTATGCGGAAAGGGAATAATAAAGAATAATTAGTTGTACTATAGTTCTGAATTCCACCTCTATTCCTACATTTAATATCAAGTTTATTACCATTAAGTACTCTTCATACACATAAGCACTATTTTCCGAAATCCACACTTTAGCAAAAACGTATAGTTCTGAATTCCACCTCTATTCCTACATTTAATATCAAGTTTATTACCATTAAGTACTCTTCATACACATAAGCACTAATTTCCGAAATCTCTGTCAATGACCAACATTCTAAATTTTAGGTTTCCAGCTCTCTCCGTTACCCAAATTCAAATTATTCCAAATTTAGTGAATTTTCTTCCACCATAGTCCAAATTGTTCCAAATTTAGTGGTTTTCATACTCATAAGTACAAATTTCCAAATGTACCTCAATCCTTCTTTCAGATAGTCCAAATTTAAGAATTTCAGGTCTGAGTAAAACCATTCCGCACTTTTCGTACCCATAACCAAACCAATCTCAATATTCCAAACCTGCTTTCAATCGTAAGTCCAAATTTAAGAATTTCAGCTCTATCTGTTCACTAAACTGTACCATATTTGGTACTATTCTGTACTTTTCCTACACTCCCAGAGTAACCTAAGTTGCAACTTTCAGGATTCGAGTTCTACTCATTCACCAAAGTCCAAATCCAAATTGTACCAAATTTTTTGGTTATCGTACCCAAAGTACAAATTTCCAAAAATACCTCAGTCATGCACTCCAATAACAACCTTAGGTCCACATTTAAAGATTCCATCTCTATTCGTTCACCAACATCCAAATTGTACCATTTATTATTTTTCGTAGACGTAAGTATGAGTTTCTAAAACTGCCTCAATTTCCCACTGAAACAGTAATTTTATTCATTAATTTCAGGATAACAGCACTATCTCTTCACATAGATCCAAATTGTACCATATTTAGTACTTTTCGTACTCATGAGTTCGAATTTCCAACACAGTCTCAATCCTTTGCTATAAGAGTAATTTTATTTTCAAATCCATCCATCTCTATCCTTTCACTCAATTCTAAATTGTACTAAACTTAGCACCATTTAGTACAGATAATTACGTCTTTTTAAAACTACCTCATCCTACACTCCAACCTTATTTTTAAGTCCAAATATTAGGATTCCCGCCCACACAAAAAGAATTGTACCATATTTAGTACCAATTAGGTCTTCTCGTATCCATAAGTACGAAATTCCAATACTTCCTTAATCTTGTAATTTTAATTCCAAATTTACGTTTACTATCTCTATCTGTTATCTCGAATCAAACTTGTACCAAATTTTTTTACCATTTAGTACACATAATGACGAATTTTAAAAAATTACCGACATATCTCAATTCTGCACTCAAACTGTAATATTAATTCAAAATTTCAGAATACAGCCCTATCCGTTCACACATTTGTAAGCTTTTCGGTACCATTTAGTACTTTTTGTTTCTATAATTAAACATTTTCTAAACTATGTCAATCCTACACTCCAACAGTAATTTTAATTAAAAAATTCGGGAGTCTAGCACTATCCGTTCACACGTAATCAAGTTGTACCAAATATAGTACTATTTAGTAGTAGGTAGGTGACATGCTTCCATATCTCAATTCTATATTCAAACATCAACCATTAGTCCAAATTATTGGCTTCCAGCTCTCTCCGTTCACCCAAATCCATCTAGTGCCGTTTAGTACTTTTCGTACACATAAATACGAGTTTTCAAAGATGTCTCTATAGCTAAATATACAACAGAAATCTTAATTCCAAATTTCAGGTTTTCAGTTCTATCCTTTCAATCAACATCCAAATTGTACTAAATTAATACCATATATACCTTTCGTACCAAAAAGTACGAATTTCATAATCTACCTCAGTCCTACACTCCAACAGTCATTTTAATTCCCAATTTGAAGACTTCAGCTCTATCTGTTCACCTAAATCCAACTTCCACCAAATTTAGTACCAATTAAGTACTTTTCATACAAATAAGTACGATTTTTTAAAGCTAATTCCGATTATCAAGATTCCATCTCTACACACTCAACTGAAGGTAAATAGTACGGAATTTAGTACCATTTTACACTTTTTATACACATAAGTACGAATGTCTTAAACCATTTCCGTACATCAACACCACTTCCCAACATGTATTCCATTTAAAATGTCAAGATTTCAGCTATATATGTTCAATATATATACAATAGGAACTAAATTCAGTAAAGTTTAGTACCTTTAGTACACTTATATGTCGAATTTCCAAAAACCCTTTTGCACATCTTTCTAACTTTCCATCAGTGACCAACATTCCAAATTTCAGAATTTTAGCTCTTTCCGTTCGCTAATAAAAAGGGTACCATATTTGGTATATTTTAGTACTTTTCGTATCCTTCTACTTCCAACAAAACTTCCGGCATACCCCGATCCTACACCCCCATAATGATAGTACGAATTTCCAATACTTCTTACTAAACCCACACCCCCACAGTTATCCTAAAACCAAGTTTCAGAATTCTAACTCTATCGGTTCATCCACAATTCAATTTGTACCAAATTTAGTACACTGTAGTACGAATTTCCAAAACTTCCTACTTAACCCAAACCTACACTCCACAGTGATCCTAATCCCAAGTTTCCGAATTCCAACGCTATCGGTTCACTCACAATCCAAATTGTACCAAATTTAGTACACAGTAGTATGAATTTCCAAAACCTCCAACTTACCCTAACCCTA